AAATTAGACGTTATTTTTGTTTACTTTAAGTTTTGTTTTGAAAGTTTGTTTGTGGCAAGATATAACTACTAACAATAATACATATTTATAATGTATATTATCGTTTATGTTTACGATCACTTTAAAATTTTAATAAAGCAGCTATATGAACATGCGCGAAGTTGTAAACAAAATCAAAATAGTTGACAATGACAGACAAATCTGAAAATATTTGAGCCATTAATTTGAAATTAAGATGTATATTATAAAATTTGGTTACTTGTTAGGTGCGTACTTTTAGGAATTTTTGGAATCTCGATATATAAGTTTATATGTTTACGTAAGTGCCCTTATCTCTATTTTAGATGTGTGTTAATTATAATATAATGTACTGATTATCTACTTATAATAGTGTGTTTGTACTGTTTATTTTTTACAATAACAATAAAGAAATTATAAATTCTAATTGTCTCTTTTATTAACATGAATGAATGATCCAAGGAAATTAGGACTACCTGCAAACAAGAATAATGTTTGTTTTAATAAATGTTGGATTTGGTAATTTACATAAAATTAAATAATTAGTTCTGCCTATAGGTGGGGGGTTTAATTGGAGAATTTCTAATGCGCTAAATGCATATTTATCTTAATACATGGCAGATTCCTATCTGCTCTCTGTAATCTATGAGTAACACCCTTAGTCTAAGGAATAAGCGAATGCTTATCAAAGTTTTTATAATATAATTATTACTATTTGTAAATTATATTAATCATACAGTTATCTTGTTTTTGTAATTGTATTTTACTCTAAAATAAAATGTTGGGTTCACACTGTAATAATAAAAATTTGCAATTTTTTAAGTTTGATTCTTTTCTTCTCTGTAAGTAGAATTTTAGGCTATCTTGTAGCTATATTTTTTTCCCAAATAATACACCTGAACTCTGCTTTCATTGGCGGAGTTTGCAAGCTAATTATGCATTTTGGAAAAAACGATTTATGCGTGAGGTTAGGTTAGTTAAGTATTCATTATAATACCTAAATGTTCATACCTTCATATTTTCATTTTAAATTGGAATTTAAATCGTCAGCTCATGGGAAACTGTGTTGCCCGCATCTAAGGGGCACTTTATAGCTATAATTTTCCCATTTGACGACTTATTGGCTCAATAATATCAATCAAATTTCACTGAAATATCCTAAAAAAAGTGATTGTTCAAAGAAAAAAAAAATGAATTATTATTGTCGGCCCGGAAGAAGCAAAATTGTACTACATTATGGTCCATTCCGTTTGCATACACCCAGTAAATAAAGCAAAGAAATATTGAAATAATTTTTAGTTATTAATACAATAAAAACAATAAAAATATATAGCTACTTATTTACAAATAGATATAACAATTTGTATAGTGTATAAGGCTCATTGTTGGACGGTACTTTAGGAATGTGTATAGTTTTTTTGAAAATAATTGTACTTAAATAACTAAGCAGTTAACAATTTTAGTGTTAAATCTACCTGGTAGTTTAGTTACAAACTTCAATTAAATAAACTATATCTATAAAAAACAGTGGTGGAGTTCAATTAGTGGCGGATGAAGCAAAATGTTAATTAAAAAGATTTGTTCTATATTTAAAAAAAGCTTATCTTCAGGACTCACTACTCCACCACTGAGACAACATTTGTATATCAAATATATATATAAAACAGAATAATACTAATAATTTTCACAATATTCATTTATAAAATAGTTCTAAAACTTATAACCTCTTTTTCATCTTTAAACTTGAAAAATTGTATCCTAAGGACACTATAACTTTTTATAGTTTGTTCATTTGTGCATATAATATATATAAGTAAAATATAAAAGTGCTATGATTCTTTGTACCTTAACAGACAAGAAAGTCTTGTATAAAAAGATAAATACAATATTTATTTTCTATAAATGAAGATAAAAAACCACAATCTCATAGATCTAAGTGGAATGTATTATAATTACAGCATTGATATAAACATAAACCAATAAATTTTCCTATACATTTCATCAATATTTGGGAATTTTAAAACTATTTGAATTTTATAAGTGATGTATGTATGTGTTGTCTGCAAATTGTCAACTTGGAAAAGAGAATAAAAATATAATTAATAATTTCAATAAAATGAAATACAGAGACAAAAAAAGGATGTAACTGGTACAGTACTGTCAAGAAGTTTAATTGCATACTTGTGAAGCTGAAAATAATTATTGTCACTGATTAGTTTTTAAATTTCAAGTTGTTTGAGATTATGGATACTATTGTAGAAAAAAATAATTTTTATAGCTACTCATTGTGTATCACTGTTAGAATAAATCACAATACTCTTTAAGCTGCAGCTAGAATAACAATGAAATAATGGTATCACCCATGGAAATATATGAATTTTAATTTTATTATCTTTTTTAAAAATTATTATCTTTCTTAATAATTACTATCTTATAGTATGTATAAACATTTTTTTCATAGTTATAAATTGGCTACAAATATTTTTATAACTATTTCTTGGCAAGTAAATTTAATTATTTAAGACTAAATAGCTGGTCCTTGCTGTTTTTTCATTTTTTTTAACAATTCAAATCTCATGAAATATAGATAGAAAAGTTTCACTTTTTGAAAATATCCAGGATGTGCAATTTTTTTTTATAGTTTTATGGATTTTCAAAAAATATTGTATACTCTGTTACTTTCCAAAATTTTAAGATATTTTATTTTATTATATTTTCATTCTTTTATTAATAAAACTGAAAGATTTTTGACAAAGGTTTCAAGGAACACTTAATTTCCTGAGTTTCAAAATCATCTTTCCAAAAATGAAAACTTTAAATAGGAATTTTTTTAGATAATATATTTTTCCCATCACTGTGATTTGTAAGTACCACTGCAGGAATAGAAAGTGATAGTTCATTTAACAGATTACTATATTTAGAAGAAGTACAGAGACAAGTAATTTTGTTTGTAAAAGTAATTTTATTTTCTTCACGTTGGCTATTAAATTTTGGAAAAATTAAAAATTATTAAAGCAATAGAATCAGGATTACGTTAAAACAGTATTCTGCTTCACCGACTGGTGATTGGTGTAATTTTTCACATTTTATTCAACCAAATCGAAGATTGTATTATTTCAAACGTAGACACAACGGTTTATCATTGTTCATTGTAAATTGTAAACGAATCATTAATATTGATGGTGCTAAGATTTAGGGATTTTTAGTTAATAGCGCCAATCCTGCAATGTTAGTTGTTTAAGATGGCAGTCATGTACCTTGTAATCATTTATCAAGGCTTAAAATGTGCAAACCTTAAAAATTTATTCCTTCAAAGTTTTCAAAAAATGATCTTTCCCAAAGTAAAAATCATTTCCCCTTTTTAAATATTTCTATCTTTCGGGAATGTTCCGAAGTGTCCAAACTTAAAAACTTTGTTCCTGAAAACTTTTCAAAAAAGTGAATTAGCAATCTGTTCTGAGAACCAGCGATTTATATGAAATCAACATTTATCCATGAATAACATAATATTTAATGAAATTATTATTTTACACAACAATCACATTTTAAAACTATTTAGAATGCTGTGCAAGAAATAGTATAGAATGTGTTAAAGAACATGTTTAAAACTAACTGTAACAATGAAAGCTGTTATTTGATAACTTGAATGTATATATAAATTATTGCCCTTTCCAAAATGTGTTCTTTGTTAGTTTTTTTATGAATATGTCAAACATGTAACATAAATAATGTCTACTCTACTAGGCAATATTATACTTGTCAGTTCTTTTGAATCATCAGTACAGTTGAAATAAATTCAAAATTGATGATTATAAACTACCTAATGTTTTACCACCCTAAAAAATCCTTTAAACAAACGTTCTTTCAATATTAAGACATTCTCTGTTAAACCGAGGCTAGTTTGCATTAAATAATACTAATTAATACGAAATATGAGTCATAACTTGTGTTTGTAAAAAATATTACTTCAAGTATCGTGTCAAAAATCCAAAATAAAATTCGCAATGATTTTATCGGTATCGAAAAATACAATTCTTTTCGTTTTGATCTGCAAAAGCAAAGTTAAGAGAATTAATAAAAATTAGAAATAGTATAAACAACAGGATTAATAATGACTTGTAGAGGAACATTCCCAAAACCAAGAACAAAGTTAGAGGCATATTTCCATTACGGACAAAATGCTTTACCAAAATTTATTATTTACTGTATTAGTTTTATTATTATTAATTATTATTAATTTATTATTTAGCCTATTTATCTTGTTCTCATAAAAACACAATTAGGGGGAGCTATAAAGGAATGTTCCAAAATCAACCAAATAAAGATAAACACTGAAAACGCAACTAGAAATGTTATCATATACAGGGTTAGTCAAAATGGAAACTCCCAAAAATCTCAGCAGGAAAGCATTTTTGGGATAAATGGTGATGACAAAAATCTCACAGCGCATCCGATGGTAACCTTGACCTTGAGGTCAAGGTTCAAGGTCATATCAAGATCAAGTCGTTTTTTTCTAAATGGCGACTCTCGTTTTCCACCTCGGAAATGGAAAGAACAGAAAATTCTGCATCTTCCGACATTGAACGTAACCTCAAAGTCAATGGTCAAATGTTGATTTTTTACTGTAATTTTTTTATTTTAACTACGGAATCAGAGGGAGTGACAATCATTGAGTAGATACCTGATGGTACTCCTTAGTGAACTTGATCTAGAGGTCAAGGCCGAAAGAACATGTCAAGGCCATGTCGATTTTTGGAGTAGCAATCCCTTATTCTGACGCTAGAAAAAAGAGAGCGTAGAATTCTATATGTTATTATGATCTTAAACGTGACCATAAGGTCAACAGTCAATGTCAGGTAGAGGTCAAGTGATTATTAAAGCGTCATTTTTTTCGACAGTGGAATAGAAAGGACTCACAATTTTTTTGTGACCTCAAGATAAAGGTCACTAAGGAGTACCATCAGGTATCTACTCAAAGACTGTCACATCCTATGATTCTGTAGTTAAAACTAAAAAATTACAGTAAAAATCAATATTTGACCTTGACCATTGACCTTGAGGTCACGGTCAATGTAATTTTCGGATCGCCATTTAAAAAACCGACTTGATCTTGATATGACCTTGACCTCAAGGTCAAGGTTACCATCGGACGTGCCCTGACAAATGCTGAGACATGTGGGTGTTTCCATACTTTTGACTAACCCTATACAATAAAACCCAGAACAAGTTTTAGAGAAACATTACTAAAACCGAGAGCAAAATAAGGATTGATTCCATAAAGAACAAGAGGAACGTTCACCATACCTTTTTTGCTATAGGAATGTTGTGGTCTAACTCATTCTTGCATTCTTATTGAAAATAAAGTACTTGGATGATTTTGTCTACTGTGTAAAATCTCTTCATTTCAAGTTAAATACAAAAGACGTGAAACAAAAAAAAATTACGAATTTTGTTTTGGAGTTTTTTGGACACTCCCACAGGTTTCTTATATGAAATATTTTGGTACAAAACACGAAAATAAATACTATGGCACACCCCTATTTCATAGGAAGTAGTTTATGTGATTTACGACAGTTAAGCTGATCCATACCCACTTCTAAACTAAACATCAGTCTGTGGAACACCTTGTGGTATTGTCGATTGCGATTTGCTCTTATGTCTTGAGGTAAGTACGGGCGTACCTTTTCTAGGAGGGTCTCCGTTTGGACTGCTGCTCATGAAACCTTGCATTTCTTTCAAGGAAACACTTTGGAAGGAAGAAGCACTGTTAGTCCTAGGTACTACTTTAGAAGAGCCGTATTTGTTTATGTAGTCATTTGGTCCCCTAGTATTTTCTATTCCTTCATTGTCCGTGTCGGCGTCAGGCGGATACAAGTATGGGTTATAGTATCTATCAGACGATCTGTCAAAATAATAAGAAATATTTATTTAAGTTCATTTACCACCATGTCAAAGTCTTATACTCAAATTCAAGTTTTTCGAGTTAATAGTGCATAAATATTTTACACTAGTATGAAGAATAAATTATTTACATGAACACCGCCAACTATTATGATAGATATTGCCTCGCTGCCACGATGTGTTTTGCAATTTAACTACGTCATAAAATGAAAATAGATTTAAAAATATTAGACCCCTATTGTTTCTTTTTTCTAGAGATATGCCGCAGACATGTCAGCTCGACATGTCCATCGGACATGTCGTGAAAAGTGGACATATCCTAAGGACACTTTTCTAGATTGAAAAGTTGTATGCGCATGCGCGGAATTATTTGTTGCATTCATAATTACCGTAAAAAATTTTTGGGGTTGGTACATGTAAAATTAAAGATATTTAGCCATTTTCTTGTAATTTTGATGGTAATTATTTAACTGACACTGACATTTTAAAAATAAAACTTCTTTTATATGTCCATATTTTATTATTTTTGGCAAAGTTAACTTAACGATTAGTAAATAGTTGATTCTTAATTATTTAATACACAAATAGTTTATAAATGAAGTATGATGCCAAAATCAACAGTTTGGTTATATTTTTCTGTATTGAGTAAAAATCATTATAAATGTAACTTCTGCTGAAAAGCAATTTTTAAGAATTCCAGTAGGATGGAAAAACATTTAAATAAGTGTACTGGCTGTCAGGGGAAAATTAGAAACCAATTTATAAAAGTTTAAAGGTAAGTAATAAGTAAAATATATCGACACATATTCATTAGAATAAAAGTAATATTTTGCTTTGCGTACCCTCAAGCAGTGACCCGTGAAAACATGATGGACACGTCCAACAGATATGTATGTAACACACTTTTCCGAAAAGTGCCTATCTACTTTTTTCATTTTGACCTCATCTAAGTTCTAAATAAAATTAAAAATGTGCGCTATGACGTCACGCGCGCATCAGCATCATTGTTTTTTCATTTTTATGACCAATTCCTTCTGTGCTGAGAATTCATCCACTGGCAGACATAAATAACTAATAGCTAAAATATATGTTATAATAAAAAATCTATTTGCAAATAAAAAATAACAAAACATTGTGATTAGAAATTTCAGATATTAGTAATTGCTGGTTTATAAATGAAAAAGGTTACTTTGGCGAATATCGTTAGACTCATAACATGTTAATTAAGTTTCTAGTTATCAAAATTTTCAAATAATATGGATTTAATTAGAATTTTAGGTGTATAAATTATTTTTACAAGTATATTTTTGCAAATGAAAAATCATCTAGTTTGTGATAACTCGCTCAATCTGTGAATAATAAGTTTTTCTTCAGATTTTTCAATTATCGAGGAGACTGTGGGACCTCCAGCAGAAGACATTGAATTCATAGAATTTCACCAAAAAGATTGCTGCAAAAATTGTAAATAGCTATGTCGCCTTATTAGAGTGCCAATTAGTGAATTTCCTAATTTTTCGTTGATTTCATACACGTAAAATAATATTTCAAATTAAAATAAGGAAAAATTACGGATTTAAATAAATTAACTCCATCAAAAATATTTTAAAGATATTTTATAAAAAACGTATCCATGCTTTCACCGTACAACGCTACATAGGGAATTAGCTTCGTTTGAGTTCGTAAATTCGGAACGGTGGGGAGCGCTGGGTGCTGCAACCTGACTGATGTGAGATGTGATTACGTACGCCACAGCGCCGCACGGCCGCGCACCCAGAGATCGACATCCGCACCGCTGAAGCCACACGAGTTTGACCGACGCACCTCCTATATAGTGTTTTCCCGTGAAAGCACGGTATATTATTTTCCCACTTGGAGTCAACTTTTCAGCTACATACAGAGTGAACCAAATTGATTACCACTACAGGGATCTTAGGAATTCTTTTGGAGATAGTTAGAAGCTTGTATGGACAGAATAGGGCAATATGTCCACTGAATATCTTCATTTAAATTTTGTTACAAGTATTTTTTTATTTAGCATTGTTCGTTTTATTGTTTGACTGAATTTTTTTTTAACCATTCTGATGTAATTCTCGCTAGTTTAGACAGTTTCTTTTTTTAATCAACACTTTTGTGATGATAACTTCGTATCGATGTCACATTGGATTTTATTGGTTTTTGTTATTAAAAATATAACAAATTAAAAGATATTTAAAGGAAGTTTAAGTATTTTTTTATTTTTTCTGAGTAAAATCTAATTGAATATTAATAGAATTGAAAAATGCAAAAATTCTTTGAAAATTTAAGAAATTTCCTGATATTTCCCCGACATTTCTAGATCTGTAAAATTTCCTGATAACATAGCCACACACAAAAAAAAAGTTGTCTGTACTTTTCATGCGACATACGTCATCCGTAGTATTTTTGCCTCCTGATCACGAATCCAGTGTCAGAATTGAGCTATCACATCACAGGAATTTCCTAACCTCAAAAAACAGGTCAAAAATAGCAAAAATTCATGAAAAAGTGCTAGGAAAACTACAAAATTTTTTTTTCTATATTCAAATGTTCATTTATATGATTCAGACCCCGCCCGAACGTGAATCCGCGGTCAGAATTGATGGTTCTTTTTCTACCTTAAAAAAAACGGGTCAATTAAGGTCAGATATCAAGAATCTTCAAAAAATAGCCAAATTTGGTATACAGGGGTTTTCGGGGTCGCTGATCACATATCCGAGGTCAATTTTACAAATTTAAAAATGGAATAAATCAACATTTGAATATAGAAGAAAAAATTTTTTGTACTTTTCCTAGCACTTTTTTGCGAATTTTTGCTATTTTTGACCTGTTTTTTTGAGGTTAGGAAATTCTTGTGATGTGATAGCTCAATTCTGACACCGGATTCGTGATCAGGAGGCAAAAATACTATGGATAACATATGTCGCATGAAAAGTACAGACTACTTTTTTTTTTTGTGGCTGTGTTCTGTCTTTCTGCTATCTGTCTTTCAAAATTTTTTTGTGATCAAATGGGCTTAACGCAAGTTTAAATCCTACAGATTTCACCACATTTAATCCTATATATTTTCGATTGTAAGCCAACATATTCAGTCATAATGTTACCATTATTTTCATCCTTCTTTACGCCAACAACTTTTTTATTTTCTTGTCCAATTAAACAGACATTATTTGATTGTAATTTTTTTAAAAGACTGGATATTGCAATTCACTTATGTTTTAGAATTTTTACTATATTATTGGACATTATTTGCAATAGTTAGATGTTACGTATTACCATAAAATAATAAACAAATATTCACAAAACATACAACAGAGATAATACTACGGATGATAAACGTAGTATGAATGAATTCTGATAATGTCGCAAAAGTACAACTGCCCCTATTGATCTTTCTATACTGTGCTATTAGCATGCAATCCAACATCAATTAATTTTATAAGTTAGTGAAGCATGATCTAGCCTAATTTAACCTATGTTATGACCGCCCACCCTATGTTGAGTGAAAATTTTCTTTACCTTCTTACCTCTTTGCATTTCTCCACAACATGCAGCAGACAACTAGCAGTACGATCAGCAATAAACAGAAACCTGAAATACTCCAAAATGCTATCTGCAACGGAGCCTTCGGTTCCCACCAGAACTGAAAAACAACACGTTAATATTTTTCTTTAAAAACTTCACAACCGTACCTCTGTAGTTGGCGGATAAGTTGGCACGAGGTGGCCCACCACCATCGGTATATATTGAGTCCAAAATGCTGATTCCGTCTGCCGGAAATTCCACATGATTGAGGAATTGTATGTCGTATTTAAATTTAGGTATTTGAGCTGCCCATGTTTGGATTCCTCGAAATGCAGTCCTAAGATTTGTGTGTGCGAAGGGTTGCCGTATCTGGCAAAGTCTGTATAAGCTTTCATGAAAAAGTGACTCATATTTCTGTCGTTTCTTGTCCACTGGTCCCTAACAAAGTTTTCCCGACTTGGTAACATTTCGATATCTAAAAACGGTGCACCACACAATAAGTAATGTTCAATATCGTGAGGTACTTTTCTCCATTCTGAGAGATTGAATGATTCGATAGTGGTGTTTAAAACGTACATGTATACTGGTACGTTTTGTTCAACGAGCAGTTTAACCATTTTATCGTTTGGAGCAGTGTACAGAAAATCCGTAAGCAGCTGTAAAAATAATCGTAAGTGATGTCTTAAAATTAGCCATTTGTTATTTACCTGAATATATTTTTCCCTGATAAGTGTCACATTATGCGGATCTGGCCAATACGTGTACATATACTTTATTGCATCGAAAGTTCCATTTGAATTTAACGTATAATTATACCTTAATACCAACTCTTTCACTTTTTGATCAAAGAATTCCTGGTTAACTATATAATTTGGTGCCAAACTTGTGTTTGAGGCTGAAAAAGAGAATGCACCAAGAATTACATATTAAGAACCAAACTTTGTTCTCATTATTGTCCTTCAAGAACTGAGTGAATGAATAACTATAAATATTTCTATAATATAGTAAGTCAATAATGAGATACATAATAACATTTTACGTAATAAATGTAAATCTGTATTCGAATTTTGATTTTAGACAGTTCATCAATACATTCAATAAAAACTAATATTCTCTAAAACAGAACAGAATCAAAGTGAAAATGTTCCTTTTTGGGTTTCGTTGCTAGTAAGAACACATATTTTGTTTTTAATTTGTGCTTTACAACAAAAACCAGAAATATTTCTATGATACAAACAAAATCAAGAATGAAACACAAAAAAAAATTAGGAATAAATAAAATCAAATTTGAAATAAATATACCTTAATTTTTTAATACAACACTTGACAAGAACTGTCAATTTCAGTGTGCATTTTATAACGCATAATTATAAAATATAATTTTTCTATTCTAAAGGGGAAATCAAATTTTTATACCAAATAGGAAGTAAAAAGTTAAATAAATAAGCTTTTTTCCACAATATGACAAATAATTTTGAAACGTCTTCATGACAATGTTAATGGCCTATCTTCGCTGTTCACATCTGGTGATGTTATACTCTGTTATACACATCTAGATAAATTCACTGTTCAATTATTCACAAGGTTTTCAATACAGGTGTTGTGATAAACAATTTAGTGTTTTGAATATCAATCTGTACTAGTGGAGTGTTTTATTTTATTTTATTTAAAGCATATTTATACCATGCACGGATCCAAATGGTCCAAAAAAAATTCTTTTTTAGTACAAAAAAAAAAATCTTTAGAGCTCCATACCCCACAATATTATAAAACCGTCTAGAATTTGTTTTTTGAAATGACTAAATCTTAGTCATTTTTCTTGACGGCTTAACTTTTTTTTTTTTAAACATCAACTGTACAAAAGCCCCCTCCCTCCCCACTCCCCAAAGTTCATGTCTGCATCCGCTCCTGGTTTATGCAAAATCGAAATATGTATTTTTCACATCAAATTTAATATTGGTGAGATGATGTGCATTCACATGGGATGGGGATTATGACAACATTAGCTTGACAGGTTGTTGATTAAATATATTTTGCAGTAATTAATTATTTAAGTGCCTTATTTTTCGACAATTAGGTGAGAATTTATCTGTTAAATTTATATCTTCAGTCAGGGTTGGGCAAGTAGAAAAATGAGTGTAAAATACAGGTATTTTACGTTAGTAAGATACATGTATAATATTAGAACAATTTTTTACATAATACGCAAATATTAGTACCATATGACATTGTTCATTACAGATCAAGTTACAAAAAAGCAGCACTTTTACGTTATAGGGATTATAAAAATAACAAAATAAAAGTAACAAAAAACAAAACACAGCAAAACTATGTAACCCTTGGTTAAACCTTACTGAAAAACAGGGAAATGAATTTATTCAATTTATTACCTATACTCGACGGCCAAAATTATAGATAGTGATTCATCGCTAGCTCTTGGACTAGTAAGGGGGATGAAGCGTGGCGGGAACAAAAATCCATTGGCGTGTCTGCGTAAAAGGCTACAAGATATATAAAATATTGAAAAAACATAATAAAACATAACATCTAATATTTTTTACGGTTTGCTATAACCGGCACTTTGATCTATTTTAATTATTACAGCATTTTAAAACGTCCCAGTTGTGTTTTTTTAATTTGTAAATTTATTATAGCCATGGAATTAGACCCCTCGTCTATGCTTATGCTATGACGTTTCTCAGGTCGGGCAAATCAAGTCCGTATACACCCACTAAAAAACCATTTCCTTATTCCCTACCAAGTGCAAAAGACAGAGATAAAATATAGATTGACGTTCAGTGTAACTCAGTCTATACACGATTATAGATTCTACCGATGTGCATGGCGAGCGGCACAAAGATAAATAATATTGAACCGTATAGAAATCATTTTATATTTTATACGCATTATGGTAATAGTGTTTTTATATTATGTATTAGTTACTCTTTATAATTTCAGCTGCCGAGTATAGGTGTATATTTTTTTATAACACCTATAATATAGTAAAGTTAAATGAAACTAACAAAAATTCCGATATATTAATTGCTGCAGGTGGTTTTCACTCTCCAAGGACCCATCGAGGGTTTATTAAGCTTCTACGCGCGAGTTTCGTCCTTTCTTCGTCTCCACGTTTTCGCAGAATATTTTTTACTTTTTAACGTCGAAATTTGCTTTTTAAAAATATTCTGCACCTTGCATCTCTCTCGCGGAACCCCAATATTTTCGTAAAGCCCGGATTATTTCACCCAAAACGCAATTTTCGCGGCGTCATATTTTTCTTTATGGATACTGCCGGCACTCGCGGCGCCAGTACGGCGATAGGGGATTATTTTTATGTTTTATACTGTTCCGAGTCCTTTGTGGACGATTTTACGGCAGAAAAATGAAATTTTTAACATTGCGAAAATGTTTGTTTACCACGGCTATGAACATTCAATTCAATGAATTCAAATACTAATACGGACAAACTCTGTCTAGAGGCAATGATGGCTCAGTGGTAAAAGTGTCACGATTTGTTTTTTACTTATTGCCATATTTTACCTTCATTATGGAGTTTTCTTTTTAATCTTTCCATAAGAAAATATAACTTTTCAAATAGGTTTTTATACACAGGATGTTTAAAAATATTGCGTTGAACTTCAAACGGTTAAGAGATAATTATGAAATTACAAAGTTGATGACATTTATATACAGGGTGTTCCAAAAAGTGTTACATTTACCAATCGGCGAGGAGAGCACCGCGCAACGCGGTCCGAGGGCCGAAAGCCCGAGAGAAAGGTCAACTCCGCATCAGCGGAGTTTGCCGACCTTTCTAGTATTAAATATTTAATAAAATGCAGTTTCTGAAGTCCTACCTACACAGACAAAAAATTGTCATGTGACATATTCTTTTACTGCAGACTGCAGGTGTTTTCTACACTTTCTATGAATTTTTTACGTTGTCTGTGATTATTCTACATGTATTATTTACACATAAAATATGTAAAATAAACACAATATTTTACATTACATATTTTACATATTTTTCTACATAATTTACATATTCTACTTCCTTTTCTACATGTAAAGTATAAAATGATTTTCTACATGTAAAGTTACAACCCTGTTTTCAGTAATTTAATTTACTGAACTGATAAAGAATGAACACTTACTTATAAAAGTAGCAGCTTCTTGTAGTGTTACGCTCGACATATATCTCAATCCAGCATTAAAAGACCTTTTCTTGATCAAGGTTTCCACGCTTTCGCTGATAAAATGCCAGTCTTTTTCATACCAACCTTCGTAATGTGGCATAGTTATGTTCATGTCTATCACTGGAGCCCAAGGGAAAAGGCCTACTTCAGGTGGAAATTCTGCGTTGCCGATTTCAATAGCACTTCTTGAATTTTTCAAACAATTTACCAACTTCCAAGAGGAATCTATACTGCAACCTATCTGTTTACCAAAAACTCGACTTGTGTTTTGGGCTCTGTATCGGTCATGGGTCATGGCCCAATCTGCGACTGCTGAACCACTCTAAAATTAAAAACAATGCTCTCACTATTGTATGCATTTATGTAAACTATGAAAATGTTGCAGTAAATAAAATATATATACACAATAACATGCTCAAATGATAGGCAGGTTAATCAATGAAATATGCGTTAAAAAAAAAAGAGAAATAACCCTAATACATTGACAATTACGTAATATAATAAATTATACTCCAGTGCCAAAATAGTCGGCCGCAGAGTCATAAATAAATCAAACCACAATTTCTACTACTTCTTAATCTCATAAAATAATTTTGTGTATTATCTGTACAGAAATTGTAATGTGCCGTACATTTCCTATGGTGTTCTCATAACACTTTCAACTTGCGTGCCCGCACAAGAAAATTTGAAAAATGAATTTCTAATAGTAAAAAAAATTCAAACTGTTATCACAGAAGACAAAGATTTGCCTAGATTATCTAGAAAAGTTTTACTATGCACTATGCATGAAATGAATTTTCGGTAATTAAAACCAAACCCAAAAAGCATGTTAATAGAAAAGTACAAAATTGTAGTACAGGAAAGAGGTTTAGCAAAAATAATAGTGGCATACATTAAAACTGAAAATTTATTATCTTGACGAAACATGGACAAATTAAGGACATACAGTTTCAAAGGTTTGACAAGATTCAAAGTATTTTTAGGACCTTCTATGAAGTTAAAGGCACCCTTTGCGAAAGGACAGCAATTAATAATTGCACAAATCAGAAGAAAATACGGATATTTGAATCATGTGTTCGAGCATGAGAATACGGATAGTGGAGGATTTTAAAAATTAAAAGTAAGAAAAAGATTTCTTAGGACATAAATTCAGAAGTGATCTTCTCCATTCTATTTGCCGTCTTACCTGTGCAATAACTTTGGTGACCATGTTACTTGTTTGAGGTGCTACCATCAACAAACCAGCTGAGGCAGCACCGGCTCCTGGGCCGAATAAAGTAATACTATCCTTATCTCCTCCAAATTTCTCTGCATTGTCGTAGATCCACCGTAAAGCCATTGCTTGATCTAGAATTCCATAGTTTCCAGGCGAGTTTACATCTGCTGTACTGAGAAAACCTAAAGCTCCTAACCGATAGTTCAATGTTACCACTACAACTCTATAAAATGTAGCCATTATGTGGCCAGGAAAAGTGTTTGAAGCTCCATGGATAAAGTCGCCTCCATGGATGTATATCATTACAGGGTATTTCTGAGATCTTCCTGCCGTCTAAAAGAATTGTAATAATTAAATTAATATATTTATTTTGGCATAATTTTAGCTTTTTTATTTATTTGGACATTTTGCCATCTATACAAAATTTATTTCATTTAAGTTTTTATTAAGTTGTTCAAAGATAAAAAAATGCAATTTAAAATACATATTCTTAGTTTCGTGTAACATTCAAACATCATATTTAAGAATTTTAGAAAATACAAAACTAAAGTATAATAAACATAAGCTTAATCTGCAATGGTGCAGTAGAACTAACTGGATAGCAAGATTATAAAATCGATAAATTTGTAAATATGTCTGAATAAAAATTTCGAAGTTCACTGATTTTTGCAAAAATTGGTTCATACACGTCATTTTAAAAATGACTTGCTGGATTACAAAATGGATAAGATAATAGATCAACGGTCATCATTCACATCGTTAGAACTAATCAGTTCATGCGCTTTTGTAACCGAGTGAACATCATCTTCCGACTTCACAACCAGAAATGAAGAGATTTGGATAATAGAGAGATCCAGATCAGCAAGGTTGGATAATTGGGTTTATACTGTATTTCTAATATTTCTATATTATCAGAAAAATGTTTGAGTAATAAGTAATAAATTTAACATCAGAATAGTTTTCCAAGTACAAACAAAATGAAAATACTGATTTTTTTATCATTCATATTAAAAAATTGAAAATTATTTTTGGATTCTTACAATGTCTGGTGTAAAAACATTTAGGTACAAACAGTCTTCATCTACATATGTTATACCGAATGTAGCTCCTGTATATTTGCGTGGTTGGGGGCAAGCAGGACCAAAATCAACAGCTTGAAGAGTCTGCCATCCTCTATGCAATCTTGGAGGCTAAAATAAAAAATCTATCCTAAACAATACTCAATCATCAATAAAATATATTACTATACATTTGTTTATATTTTGGCAGCAACGTTTTCTCATTTAAATTTCTCATTTTAAATCACCTGATTAAAATTATAATTAAATGCACCTATTTTAATCAAATGTTTTTTTATCAGAAAAAAATTGAAGTAAAAGAAAATTTTTGATGAAAAATTTAACAATAAAAAAAACAAGTTAAAAAATTTAATTTTATCAAAAAAAAAGAATATTCAATTTGTTATTTCATTGTGTAAATAAAGTGGGTTTGCATCATGTACTGAGATTCGTTTTTTGTCTAGTGTCTTTTAGGTAGTCATAGGGACAGCTACGTCTAAAGTAATAAATGTAATATGTTTTCGTGGCTTACATTGTGATGGAAGAGTAATAAAATGTCATGTTTGTGAAACGATTTTGTTGCCTTGGAGTTTCTATAACTACAGTGTTTTTATTATATGACCTAATTTTTGTGTTCAGTAACTGTAATATTCCAATATGTGTGGTTAATATAATGAACTATTTAAATTATTTTCAGAAGCCATCAATTGCACTGTTACACACATCATGTAAGAGAAGAAACTGACAGTAACATATGATTGGATCTAAGTCGAAAAATGTAGATAACTTCAGAAAAAATTAAAGATGAGAACAGTAATAAAATAATGAATACGCCATATTATAGATCCTTTTCATAGATCTTAAATTTTTTGTAGATGTTTTTTATATAATATTTATAAGTTATACAGGGTGTTTCAGGATCAGGATTAAGTCGACAAACTTTAAGGAGATATTCCTCATAAAAAAATAAGAGAAAAATCAAGTATAAATTTTTTTCCAGATGCTTCATTTTCGAAATATAGGGCGTTAAAGATTTTAAAAAAAATTTTGAATTTTTTAAATAACTTCTAAATGAAGAAGGCTATTTAAGCCAAATTTATAAGATATAATTTTTCCATAGAAGTAGAAGTCCCACAAGCAACCAGTGGCGGAGTTATGGGGACTCAGACTCATTAAATTATAAAAAATAATAATACGGCCCTACTGAAAATAAAAAATGATGCTGTTTTTAGATAGAACAGTTTTTTATTGACAAAAAGTGTATATTCACCTTTTTTTCTAACTCTTATAGTTTCATGGCAAAATTGATTTTTCGGAAGGATGCTTCTGGATTCTGTCGATAAACTTTAAAATGAACCTCAACAAAAATTTTTGAGTAGGCTGCTGTCAAGCAATGTTAATTTGACGTTTTAAATGTTATTTTGCAAATTGTTGCATAAATTATCCATTAGATAAAGCAATCAAACTAATAATAAAAATAAGTTTAATAATGCTTTCCATATTTTTGAACAATGAATATGCTGATATGGTCTTTGTACATGGTTTTTGTGATGGAAATGCCATGGCGGCTCGCCGTGAATATGCAGTAAGATTTCTGCATCACATCGATTTTTTTCTTATTTTTTTATGAGGAATATCTCCTTAAAGTTTGTCGACTTAATCCTGAAACACCCTGTATAATGGCATTCCAATAGATATTAAATTATTGAATCCTGCAGCATTTAAAGTTAAATTTAAGGAATACATTTTTAGTCATGCTCAATGAGACAAATATTCACATAAATTTTTACTTATATTACCTTTTTTTCATAGATCCTCAATTTTTTGTAGATGTTTTCATATAATATTTATAAGTTATATAATGCCATTTCAATAGATGTTAAATTACTGAATCCTGCAGCTTTTAAAGTTAAATTTAAGGTATATATTTTTAGTCATGCTCAATGCGACAAGTGTTGTCATAAATTTTTATTTTATATATTTTTCCTATATTTGTAGTTTCTTGTTCGTACCAATAATAAGCCTACCTCATAATGTAGACAAATTTATGGATATTTCAGATATTCTAGTATTGGAGCTAAATTCTTGAACTTTTTTTTAAATTGATTTTAGCTTCATTTTACAATCTATATTAATGTAACCAATGTTTTCGTTGTCGTTGTTTGTACTTACATTGTAAATAAACATTATTATTATTATTATATTATATTACTGTGTGATAAAACTTAGTCAGCAATGATAAAATTTTCATAGAACATTATCAGAAACAAATCCTTAGGAAAATATGTGCCATTAATTCTTATCAAACATGTAGTAATATACATATTAATGGAAACAAAATATGTTAGACAAAATATTCATCATTTTACTAAAAACTCTATAACAGCCATTTTAAATGAAATAAAGCAATTTGTTGAATGTTTCTGAACACAAAACTACAAAATTCGAAATGTTTACTACGTAACAAAGTATTTTATTACAAACTACCACCTCATTAACCATCAAGAAAATATATTACTGAAGTATTACACAGTATTACTCAAAGCTTATTCACTTACTCCTATGGTTTTCTCTTCGCTTGACTCACAAGGGGAGGGCACGACCTCGGAAATTCATTTCGGGTTGAGACTCTATATAAAAATAATATACCTTTAAGGTAATAGTGTCCAATGGCCAGCCAATTCCGAGAAAAAAGCCTTTGAAAATTCAAACACTGCTTATATACTAATAAGTTTACTCATCATCCAGCGGCGAAACAGGCTAGTTGGTAACATATAAGCGTACCGACTGGACGCTCGGGGTTCAAGTCTCGAGCTCCGCTAACTTTTTTTTTGTTCAATTTGTCAATTTGTCAATTTAATTATTTTTACATTTAAATAAATCTGTTATTTACAAACATCTATAATTTAATTAAAAGTAATTTTAGTTTGTTTAAAAAAAGGCTTTTTCATTAAATATTAAATATTTTAATTATAGTAATTATTTTATTTTTCAAAATACTAAATAGCTCGACGCCATTATATTAAGGGGTGAACATCTTAGAGGTGTACTATGTTTATAGGGAGTCTCGTCCCAAAATGAATTTCCGAGGTCGTGCCCTCCCCTTGTCAAATAAAAAAATTATTTAAAGTGACTTTTTCATAAAATAAAAAACAAAAATGTTTTCCATCTTTCCAAGTCCATCTGTGGACATACTGCGTTTAAATGAGTCCCTTCTTAAAAATAAACTGATAAATTTTTACAAATTATTGTATGTTAGTTGTTACCTTAAACCTCCCATCATTCACCGGAGGCTGTGCATAAGGAATGCCTAAGAACACAGATGTCACCCCTTGTTCTCGTTCAATGAATTCAGCACCTGGTCTATAAAGTGAGTCGGGATCAGGATTATCAAACAAATATACCTGAAACCCTTGCACAGAACCATGTGTTGTTTCAACAAAAATATCTCGAATCTTCTCCCTAGTTTGTTCTCTTCGTTTTCCTTGTAAGTCTTCTCTCCAACCACCTAAAATCCCTGGCAATATGGGATCGGCATTGCCAGCCTGAAATAATATTATATTATCATTTGATAAGCAATAACACGATAACTACGCACCCTGTCGTATGAGAATCGTTCATCTTGACCTCTAATTCTAGGATCTCCAGGGCGACCCTGGCTGTAATTGTAATCAAAATTTTGTTGCCCATAACGTCTACCTTTATAAAGATACGTTGGTGTGTAACCATCTATAGGATTTTGGTAACTGTAAGGTAAACGTGGTCCATATTCATTGTAAGGGTTCTGTTTGTTTGGTGGAAATGGGGTTGGATAGGGGTAGTATTGGTCATATTGTCCCACTGTCAAATCACTCACAAATATTAACAAAAATACAATATTTTCCAACAGTTCAGTAGTCAGCGCCATAGTAGGCCCCTGAGTCATAAGTTTAATAACAAAGGCATCTTTTTTCCACTTTACACAAATTAAATGAATTAAAAGGTACAGGTGGGTGCTTTGGTCAATTATAACAGATATTTCAACTGTAAAAAGAGTAAGAGACGGTTTTCTGTACTTGTTTTCTTAGTTTAAAAGGTTAATCTCCTGTTGACACACACAATTGACAAATACATAGACACACCCACGCACCCCACGGAACACAAGATATAGAAATCAGAAGAGGAAAATAAAGCATAGGGATAACCACTGAACAAGATTATTTAGATAAGGCTGCTCCATTCCTTCTTAATAATTCGTAAGAATAATAGAATGGACGACATCTGTTACATTAAATTAATTAAAATCATCGACATAGGGAAAACTTTTATTGTTGCATTTGGTTGATTTCGTTTTTGTAGCAAAATTCTACGACTGTCGCCAGCTATAGCAATTTTCACCAATCAACGATTTCTATCCACTTTTCGTATCTCCCTCTGTCGGTAACTCGCTAATTGCGTGACTATTTTTCCTTAGAAAAAGGGCCTCCATAGAGTTTGCAACCTCAGGCCCCATCGGCCCTGTCTAAAAACTACTAAGAAGATAGAGATTCTAGTAACTTCTAAGGAATTTAAGACAACGAAAACTTAGGGCGATTCTTGGGATGCTGTCCCCAACTTTTAACACACGACTTACATAGAAAATATAGTGCTCATTACTTATGATGTTGTGGAATAACTTGATTGACAACCCGGATCGGGTTGACTTGCCGCTCCGTCTTCGGGCGATGGCGCATCGGGCTAAGCCGCGCCCGCACGTAACTTTTTGGGGTATCGGCGGTAGCCGCGCCGCGCGCCATTATTCCATGGCTAGAAATTGGCCTCAATGATTTGGGATCGAGGGGGATAATCCCTCTTTATCCTGCCTCATCTCGTGTAGGCCTGGACAGCCTTCGTAGGTGGGCCCCATCCGTCGTCTACCCCGACCGCAAATGCGGCCGGTGTAGGCGCTTTGTGGGACCTCCTTTTGTCCTGGCTGGGCCCCGCCGGCTAGGGCCCTTTCTTCTGGCGCTCTTCTTGCTTCGCCGGCTCGTCTGTGTAAACCCCGGGGGTAGTGTCATGTTTATGTGTGGTATGGTTGGGTAGGGTAGTGCGGCTATGCAGCCTGGGATGCGCTTTGCTAAGGTGGCCCTTAGGCTAGCGCGGGAGGGGAGGGTTAAGGAGGGTATGGGGGGTGTGTGTGTGTGTGTGTGTGTGTGTCGTTGTCTTCGTTTCTTGATCCTGGCTGTCTCTGAAACAGAAAAGGTTAGCGGGCAGGGGGGGGGTCATTGGGGTGGTCACCCAGGGTCAAAAAGTTGGTGTCTAGGTCTTTTGTGTTTGTCGGTCACGTCGGGTACGTAGTCAACGGCTTGCCTGAGGAGGGGATTGTCATGTCTAGCGGCTACGTCAAATCGTTTCTCCGCGTTTTGTCTTATTGTCTGTGTAGCGTTTGTGTATTGTAAGTCTCGTAATATGTCAGTGTTTCTTACGTACCAGGGCGCGTCGGTGGCCGTGCGGAGGGCTATGTTTTCCACAGCCTGTAATGACTTTAAGTGGCTTTTTGCCGCGTGACCCCACGCCGTGGAGGCGTAGGTTAGCTGCGGTTGAAGTACCACCTTGATAAGCGTTCGCTTATTCCTTAAACTGAGGGTGTTTCCACCTTTGAGTAAGGGATAGAGCCTAGCCCTGGTGGTCTTCGCTCGCGCCACCGTCTCCACGATGTGCGGTTTCCACGTGAGACGCTGGTCCATCGTCACGCCCAGGTATCGTGTTTGTCGATTCCAGGAGATGGGTTCCTGGGATAGTGTCAGTCTGTCAAGGTTTTGTGGGATTTTTCGTTTGGTAAAAAGGATAGCCGAACTTTTGTTGGGATTAATTTTGACTTTCCACCTGTTGCACCAGGTTTCAAGTTGGTCTAAGGAGCTTTGGAGGAGGTAGACGGAATATCTAGGATCTACGGATTGGGATGTGATTGTCAGGTCGTCGGCGTATAAGTATATGTTGGTGTTGGGGGGATGTGGGATGTCGGAGTTGTAAATGGTGTATAGGTGTGGGGACAGGACGGTGCCCTGGGGGACACCGGCCTCCATGGGACGGGTGGTGGAAAGGGAATCTTGGATTTGGATGCGGAATTTTCGGTGGTGTAGGTAGGATTTTATGAGTTTGGTAAAGGATATGGGATATTGGTTGGTGAGCATTTTCATCAGTAGGCCTTCATGCCAAACCGTATCGAAGGCCTTTGCGACGTCCAGGAAGACAGCACCAGTGTACTGTCCCCTGTTGAAGGCCGCCGTGATGTGCTCGGTAAGGCGAAGGATTTGGAGTTCAGTGGAGTGATTGGGTCGGAAGGCGAACTGCTCGTCTGGAATGACTTGCAGTTCTTGGGAGTGGGTTCTTAGACGGGTTAGGATAATTTTTTCTACCACTTTGCTCATAGCCGGGAGCAGGCTAATGGGCCGGTAGTTGGATGGGATGGTGTGATCTTTGTTGGGTTTTGGGATAAGGATTATGTTTGCTGTTTTCCAGCGGGTAGGGAAGTGTCTTAGTCTGAGTGTCGCGTTTGTTATGTTTAGTAGGGCCATGAGGCCCTTGTGTGGTAGTCGTTTAAGTGTCGTGTTATGTATATTGTCGGGTCCGGGGGCTTTTCTGTTTTTAAGTCTGCGTATTGTCAGTCTTAGTTCGTCAGGTGTTGCGGGGGGGATTATGTCATTGTCTGGCTCTCTGTCGACGCGTCGGGCCGCGCGCTCAGCCACTATCTCGAATTCCTCGTCTTCGTCGGGCAGCTGAGGCAGTCTACACTGCAGTTCCAGGCTATCGGCGAAAGCCTCGGCCTTTTCCTGGTTCGTGTAAACCACCCCCACACTACCGTGGATTGGAGGAATTTTACGGCGAGCGGTCTGTCGCAGGGCCCTCTGCGTTTTCCAGAGGCTGTTGTCTTGTGGATCCAGCGACTCCAGGTGCCTAGCCCAGTTATCCTGGGCCAGTTCATCCAGAGCCGCCTTCACCCGTCTGTTAAGTACGTTTAAGTCATGTCTGTGTCGGGGGAGGCGGGTGCGGGTGGCAAGCCGTTTCGCACGTCGTCTGTCACGTATTAAGTTTTTTATGTCATCGGGGAGGGTGCCCCGGGGGTTTGTCAGTCGGGGGACAATAGTCTCCGTCGTAGTCTGAGTCAGGGCGTTTTTAATGTCAGTCTCAAGGGAGAGGATTGCCGCCTCCAGATCATGGGTGGTTTCGATGACTGGGAGCGCCATGTTTCCTTGCATTACTGTTCGGAAACGCTCCCAGTCAGTGAACCTCCTCGTGAAGGTGCCTTCATATCTCTGTCTTCGCCCCAGATCCAGAAATATTGGATTGTGGGCGGAAGACCCTTCGTATTGGGTGGATATTTGGGCATTTAACGGTATAGATTTTAAGAGGGCAATGTCGATAACGTCGGGGCGTCCTACGGGTCCGTAATGTGTCGGTTCTGTCGGTCCGAGTATAGTCAAGTCGTCGTGTCTGTCTTGGTAATTCAGCAGGACGCGACCTCTTGTGGTCGTCGTCCCGCTGTGCCATATGGGGGACTTCGCGTTGAAGTCCCCGATGGCAATTGTCTGGGGCCAGGAAAGGATTTTGTCTAAGTCATTGTCAAGTAGTGGTAGTCTGGGTGGGTGGTAACAGGACACCACCGCAACGTCTCCATGCCGTAGCGATCTCACCGCTATCGCCACGGCCTCTGTGTTTTGAGTTTGGAGCCGCTGCAGCGGATAGTGGTCGATGCACTTCTTTACTATGAGTGCAACACCACCCCCGTTACGGTTTCTGTCATGTCTGTATATGTCATAGTCAGGGATGGAGGTACGGGATGCCTCGCTGAGGTAGGTCTCCTGGACAGCCATAACGTCTATGTTTAGACGGTTCAAGATGTCCACGAGTTCCGTTTTTTTGGCCCGGAACCCGTCAAGGTTCCAGGACGAAATTCTCAGCGAGGAGGGTTGGGAGGGCCGACGAGCCATTAGAAGTCGAATAATTTTTGCATATTCGACACCATGGTCGTCAGCTGGACGCAGAAGTCCTGAAGACGCTTTGTTGCGTCAATCAGGGCCGCCGCGCCCGGTTGGGAGGGTGTCGTGTCTGTGTGTGCGTGTGGTGAGGTGTTGTGTTTTTGTTTTTGTGTGTTTTGTGTTTTTCTGGTCATGTCAGCGTATGTGCGTCCTGGGGTTGTGTTTGGGGTGGGTAGGAGGGGCTGTCTGTGTGTTTGTGTAGTGTTTTGTGTCGTGTGTGTGTCTGTGTTTTGTGTTTTTGTGTTTTTAGCTTTGGGGTACTGAGGGCACCCCATATAGCTGGCGGGGTGTGGCCCGGCGCAATTTGCACACCTGGCGGGCGTGTCTTTGGCCTTTTTGCATACGTGCGTGCTGTGGTTTTCGCCACATTTTACGCACTTTGGCTCAGCTGTGCACCGGGTCTGGCCGTGGCCGAACCGCTGGCACCGGTGGCACTGTGTGGCAACCCGCTGCTTTCGCTGCAGCTCTACTCGAACCACGAGCGAGCAGCAGCGGGTTACCTTCAGGATGTCCTCCTGGTCCTGTGGGGCCTGAACTAGGACCAGGGGCATTTCCTGTTTATTTTGACGGCTCGCCATGCGGTGCACTATTGCGCCGGGGAACCCTTGTCTTGCGAGGTCGAGTTGGACCTCACTTGGCGAAACACCCGCAGGTATTCCGCGTATCACCACCCTCAGCGTTTTTTCTTCGCTGAGGGTGAAGGTGTGGTACTCCTCGCCTTTGTCTGTCAGTGTCTTTGTCAATAGTCTGTGGTCATTAGGTGTGTTTGGGTATATGGCTATACCGTCTTTAGTCAATTTGGCTTTTGTGTAGTTAATGTTAAGTGTCGTGAGTATTTTTTGTACTTGCGTCCACCGTTCTTGCTTTCGCAAGATTACCGGGGGGACTTGTTTGGTTTTGTCTGTCTGTTTTTGTGTGTTTTGTGGGGTATTTTGTAGGGCGCTTGTGGAGGGTGTAGGTGTCGGGGGGCGCGTGTTTGGTGTTTGTGGTCGTGTTTTGTTTGTTTTGTCTGATTTTTTAAGTCTGGGGGCTTCGTCCTCGCTAGAGGATTCCGCTGTGTGTTTTTTGCGTTTCTCTGTGCGTGTGTGTGTGGGGTGTGTGTGTGGAGGGGGTGTGTGTGTGCCTGTCTGGGGTATATTGTCTGTCATTTGTTTGTCGATAAGTTTGTCGAGTTTTTGGTGTAATTTAGTGGTGTTTTCGTCCGAAAGTTTAATTGTTTTTTGCAAATCGACGATTTGCTGTGTCATGGTTAGTATTTGTTGGTATTGTCGGGTGTTTTGTTCTGTGAGTTCGTGTATTTGTTGTTTTAGCGTCTCATTTTCATGTTTTTGCGATAGTAGCTGTTCGAGCGGTAGCCTTTCACCCTCTTCCTATAGTATGTACATGGTGTCGGAGGGAACCTTAGAGCATATACTACTGGAGGCAAACTCCCAGTGGCCGAGAGTGTAGCGGTGGTTTAGAGAGAGAGGGGTATAGGAGTGTATATGCTATCCCTCTCTAGTAATATGCAATCGCGTGCTGCTAGAGAGAGAGATTATATACCCTCCTATACCTCTTTCGCTCTCTAACTCGGCTCGGCAACTGAGACACTGCTTCCAGTAGTATATGCTCTAAGGATGGAACGATCTGCTTTGGCTCCTTCTTTACCAACATATGCTCTAAGGGTGGAACGATCTGTTTTGGCTCCTTCTTTACCAACGCTGCTAGGAAGTTAGTCGCCTGCTTACAGATAAGGGTCTTTCCATTTAGCGCGTGCGTTTCCTCCATGACGATACGATACCCGGAAGAGCTGACAGGGCTGAATGGCTCTGAGCGTCGTTCTTCCTCCATGGAGGACGAGGACGAGGTTGTTGGCCTCTTAAGGAGGATGATTATTATTTGTCCAAGACATAGAATATTTGCACTTACTTTGTTAGTTAAAATAGGGTTTCAACTGACCCTGTATAAATTCAAGTTTTAGGGTTTCGACTTACCCTATAGTCTTTTGTGTGGGTTTGATTTCAGGTCTCCATGGAGTACATTCAAGCTTTATGAGTTTTGGTACTGCGCCTCGTAGGAGGGCTAGTGAGTGGCAGCTTTAGGAGCTACTTTATCCTTGTTTAGGGTTTTCGCCGTAGGTAGGACGGACCTAGGCGGAAGGATTGATGACCGGAGCTAAAGAGCTCTTAAGAGTAAGAAATAATCTAATTCGAGTTTATGATTTTTTAGAGAGAATCTAACTCGAAATATTTGTGTATTTGATTGTTAATTTTGGTTAAATAAAACAATAACGGCATGTACTGCTCTTTAAATACAAGGACTTAAGCCATTTTGAGCGTCTACAGACATTGGCCAGGATTCCGTTACTGATTACTGAACTACGGATATCCAGGGTAGACGTTCGATTGCACCCACAGCAGTTTCTACGTGCATCTCTCTCGTAGGGTTCGATATTCTTTTGGGTTGACGAGATTAAATGTTATACAGGATGTTATCTTGTATTCGGTCCTAATTTCGTCGCATTCGGAGAATTTTTTGTCTCCGAAATTCGAACCCAATTGCGACCGTCAAATCGAACTGTTAGGGGTGGAGGCTGCTGCATCAGAGTAATTTGGGCTGTATGGAGCGGTTTTTGGACGCATCTTCTAGAAGGAGCTGTTGGTGGCATCGGTCCTCATCAACGTCGATTATCTTGGATAGTGTTTTGGGGCTACTTGGAGCGGTTTTGAACGCGACGACGAATTTTTGGAAAATAGGTGAAATTTTCATTTTTCTCGCCGCACTGGGACTTTAAGACCTTTGGGACGTTGTCCTTGATCCTGGTTACGGTCAGCCAATTTCATCTGGTCGATGAGATGCGCAAACGTGGGAGAGCGCGCACTACATATATAGTTAGAAGATCGAGTAATGGAAAATAAAGCACTATCGGGAGAGAAAGCGATAATGGCTAAAATCCTTGTTATATTTCCTGCTAACTTTAAATGCAACAATTATTTACATAAAGATATATTTATTTATTATTTTATTATTTCTCTGCATTGCTTGTTTGAAATTTTTGATATGGGCTTCTTTACTTTTGCGAGAATGTGCAACATATAATTATATGAGTTTTTATAACGATATGAGCTACGTGGGCCCTTACTACACTTTACCATTACGTATCCGACCTTCACAGCCAAGATGAAATAAGTTGAACTGTATGTATATGTTTGGACAAACACAGAATATACATATATGATTGTAAAATATGTATTAAAAAACAGTGGCGGCTCGTGACATTGAGAATAGGTGAAGCATATTCATTGATTGAATAAAAAGAACAAAAAAAGCGCCATTGGCGCTGGCGAAAATTTTCAAATTTTCAAGGTCAAACGGCTTTAAATGAATCTGGAAATTTTTAGTTGCATTTGCAATATTACCGAAAAACTGACGTTCGTGAGAAGGATTTTCATTTAGATTTTATAAAAAATAGAAATAACAGGTTATCCATTTCGAGCTTGGGATAGTAAAGCCCTGCCAATTGATATTTGTCAAATTTCATCCAGACTGGTATTTGTTTAGTTAAAGGTTTGCCATTTCACAATATGGAACGTTTTACGACCGAACAACGCGTTAACGCCTTAAAATTATTAAATTATGCTACGAAAATGGTGGATCTTCGGTGACACACAACGTGGCCAATTATAGCTCTATTGCGTGAGAAATTCCCAGGACGCGTAATTTCGAGAATCGGCTTGGCCACCAAAATCCTACGATTTAACGCCTTTGGATTTCTCTTTGTGGGGCTACGCGAAAGACCGTGGTTATGCGAACAATCCCACAACTTTGGAGTAATTGAAGGACGAGATATATCAAGTTATGGCCGAATTATTGCCCGAATTGTGTGAAAAAGTCTTCGAAAATTACCTCAAAAAGATTGAGTCCTGCAAACGGTTCCGTGGAGAACATTTGAATGATATTGTTTTTCACGCATAATGGCATAGTCCACACTTTATTATGAAATAAAAGTTCCATCAAAATTTAAATATTCAGTGTTTTTTTAAATTTTACTTTCTCAAGGAGAAAATGGATAACCCGTTATATTAGTTCGGCTTGCGGACTTCTGCGAACATTAACGCGCACCGTACATGTCTGTTCCAACGAAACTTTGTGGTTACGACAGCCTTGCGTGACGTTCCCAAAATTGTTAAATCCCTTCTTATTCCACACGGCCGACTTTACACTCGCAATTAAACACGACATACAGAAAAGTTTTTTAAATGAACACTTCCACACAACACAATGACTTATATTCCGAATACCATTCATTCCGAAATTTTCGAACGTACACGTTGTCTTTTGACTTCCACTTTTTCCCACATCGAGGGAAACAGGTCTCTCGCAATTTAAAAAATCCTTTTTGTCCTCAATTTTCCATCTGGAAAATAGCATTTCCAATAAAATACATACTGGATCCTACATAGAAAACATTTCTACAATTATTATACAAAACAAATATTAACTAAGAACCGTTACAATCGTGCACTGGACGACGCGTATCGTATGAACTGTTAAAAGCAGGCGATGGGCGATGTTGCTTCAATTTATGCGTCACTCGTTCCCCCACGACGTAGTTTAATCCCGAGTTGGTCGCCTCGTTGCCATGACAACCGCCGTAAACAACTCTACGAAGGGAAGCAGAATACAGACTGATTTCAATCTGCGTCATTTGCGTATACTATACGTGTGGTATGTACGAGGTTGATGTTCGCGCTCAACGAAGGCAATGTTTTTTTTAGAAGGCGTTCACCGCGCAACTATTTATTTCTGCTGTTAAACAAACAAACACAATACATTTTTAATATAGAATTATATCTAAATTATAAAATTTATATAAAATTAAAAATAATTGTACTTGCGTCACCTGACGAGCCGCCACTGTTAAAAAATTAAATTTGATCGCCTGCTTCGCTAAGGTTAGTACCATATTTGAAGATCATAAAAATGTCGATTTACATACTTTAAATTTTTCCTTAGAACATGCAAAAGGAAACAGACATCTATCTATTCGGTTACATATTACATTTTACATATTGAAAATTACTGGTAAATAACAAAATATTTTAAAAATTCCACGTAAAATATCCGAAATATTGTCTCTGTAATTAATTATTTATGTGCAGCATGTTTTCTACGAGTAACTAGTACTTTTTTCAGGTGTTTCTGCTGCATTGAAAAGGAAATTAGTCAAGATTGTTAATTATCCTTTTAAATACTACACATTTCCATTCATTTATTACGCCAGTGTTAAATTGTATCCAGGACATGTGTAATAATTTTTTGGGAAAATGTAAGCAACAACTTTTTTGATTACGTAACGCTTAGAGTTTGGCATTCTTAAAAATGGTACATTTTGAAAAACTTACCTTGGTGAGAATTTTGGTTAAATGTCCTCTTTAATTAATTTATCAAAATACTGAAAACTAGATAGAAATAGAATATAGAAATTTTAAAATGGTTATTTAATATTTTATAAATACGGGTGTGCCATTTAACACTCCCGCTGTCAATATCTCCGAAATGAAGAAATTTATTTTAGTGAAAATTGGGGTTGTTAGATCCCTCGAATAGCTTCAAATTGTAGTTAGAATTGTTAGTTCAAATCTTTCTGTATAGTTGGCGTGGCGATACTAAAAAAATTTTTGATCCCTGGAATGTGGAAATGCAATCAATCTGAAAGATCATTAAATTTTGACTAATTTTTGTAATATAATGTTTTTATTTACCTGTTTTCGAGATATGTCGACTTCAATATGCAATATATGATATAACAGGAAATCTATTATTTTATGTAAATCACACCGAGACAAAATATTCTTTTAAAATAATGTTATAATGACTTTATTCACACCACATACTAACTAACAAACAATAAATTATAAAAAAACAAATGATCGTATAACTAGTATAGCTAAATTGAAAGATGCAAACTGATAAAACTGTAATTACTGGAAAACTAATCTGTATCATATGTCATTTGTCACAAATGACACGAGCCACCAATGACTGCATTTTTAAATAACATTTGATAAAATACGGTTCGTCTCTGCTCCTTATAAGATTTACCATTGTACAATTTTTTTTCTGTAGTTGACCGTTCTTTTTTATAATTTATTGTTTGCTAGTTAGTATGTGATGTGCTAAAAGCCATTATAACAATATTTTAAAAGAATATTTTGTCTCAGTGTGATTTAAATAAAATAATAGATTTTCCTGTTATATCATACATTGCATATTGAAGTCGACATATCTCGAAAACATGTAAATATAGAGAAAAACTTTATATTACAAAAATTATTCCAAATTTAACGATCTTTCAGATGGACTGTATTTCCACGTTCCAGAGAACAACAAATTTTCTAGTATCGCACGCCATCTATACAGACAGATTTGAACAAACAATTCTAACTACAATTTCAAGGTATTCGAAGGATCTAACAACCCCAATTTCCGGAACTAAAATAAATTTTTTCATTTCGAAGATAATCGCAGCGGGAGTGTTACATGGCACACTCTGTATATGTATCCGCGCATGCACTTTTTTAATGAGAGAGAACTGCATATGGCATGCATTGGAAAATTTGTAATTTTAGCTTTCTGCAATTCTTTTATTGTCAAACAGAAAGCAAAAGAGTTTTTTTACTCTTACTGTAAAACTAATTTGGCTGTTAGACTAGATTTCGTGAGAAATT